TACAAAGTTAAATTTTTGTAGTGTTTTATTTTTGAGAAAATAGTGCGGTGATTTTGAGTATCAGGTTTAGGACAAAGTAGACCGAAAGACTGTTTTGGACACATATTCTATCGTCGGAAATGTATCAAAAGGATAAGGCACAAGTTATTACAACATTATTTACGCCTTCTCAACAATTTGTAGCAATTAAACAAATAAAATTGTTAACACATAGACACAGATTATGCTTTAAGGTTGTTATTGTTCGAACAGACAAACGAAACGTCTACTTGTATCATCAATCAAAATCTAGTAATGGTTTTAATGAAAATGATGTACATCTGGGGATCTTGGGACTCTCTGTTCACAAGACTCGATGTACTCATTGAAAGTCAAGTACTCATTGAAGGTCGAGGGTGGTCGGTAGGCGCAGTGGATAGCGCACTCGCCTTTCATCAAGGCGGCCAGGGTTCGATTACCCGATCAGACGTATAAGGTATGGTGTCATCTGCCCGTCTACTTTGGTTTTCTCCGGGTACACCGGTTTCCTCCATTATTAAGACCCCAAGCTCGCTAAAATCCGGGCCAACAAAAAATATTAATATGAGTTGAAAAAAACTTGTTTCATCATTTTTGTAAAAGCAATACAAAAAATAGTTTATATTTACAAAGTAAAGTACGTTGCCATCCTTCTTGCAAGTATGGTGAGAAAGAGTTTCCCTTCTACACTCCGAAATGATATGGTTCTAAACTGGTTCATGGTGGCAGAGGTCCTTTGCCTTGGTACATCTTTCGCCATATGTAGCGCGAACTATTCCAATTTACAGTATATTACAGTGACTTCAGTAATGCCAAATGTATTTCACGAGTGTGGCTAATATTTCACTTGTGAAAGATATCAAAATATTAGTCACACTCGTGAAATACATTTGGTATAACTTAAGACAATGTTGAATATCCTCTATGTTAAACAGAAACGCGATTACCTAGTTTTTCGTCTTTCTACAACATGGAAATTATATATACCTTCAAAAACTGGGTTGTATCAGTATTTAAGTATGATGGAAATTGATACAGACAAGTAAATCTAGCTTTGTAGCATTGTTTATGCCCCATAAGCCAGCTAGAACGAGTGTGTTCATGTATTGGTCCGCCAGGATTAATACCCGAAAATTTAAAAACAAACCAGTTATTCCGCATAAACGAACATAATTATATTACCTGATCCTATCCAGGGGTAACACTCACTTTAACTATATGCATCCCAAGAATATGTCATAGCGAAATCGAAGTACGCGACTAGCTATCTGAAACAGCTACAGCAGCTCCACGTAAACAAACTTAGTAGCATACCGAACATTAGAGAGGTGGTTGCAAAAGTTTTCGATCAAAATCAATAAAAAATAAGGCAGTTATGAACAAATGAAATATTTACATGAACACCATTGGAAAGGGACAAGGAAGATAAGACAATATAGTAGGCGACTTCTGCTTCATCGACGAACACGTTTAAATCTAAGTCAATTTTAAGTAATGTCACAGAAACGGGGTCGCTTTTCGTACACATTAGAAGTAAACCTTCCCTGTTGGTTATGTTGTAAGTAAAGATCGATGAAAGCGGCTGAAGCAGAAGAGTATATACGGCCGACGTGGTTTATAAATTTCTTGTCATATGAAGATCGTTACATCGTCGGCATATATGAATTTGAACACTTTGGTTAGGCATGTATGAAAGTGTAATGACTGGAAAAGTTAAAAAAAATCTTTTTGGGGGGAAGCAACGCTGAAGATTGATCAGGAGATGGTAGTGCGAAGTTAAGATAATGGCTTGAATGAACAACTAGATGAACCAGTGATAAAACTTCATTTATAAGGATTCTTGTGACATTTCGGAATCCAATACAAATAGGGCAGGTCTGTATCTTTATCATTAATCAATTCCGTCTTTGCATATTGCAGAGTTGTCTTCTCTTGTGAGCAGGTATTGATTGTTACGTCATTGGTTTGTGTGAAAAAAAATTCGTCGTTTTCTCAAAACTTGATGACGTTACTCTCACAAACCAATAACGTAACAATCAATACCTGCTCCCAAGAGAAGATAACTCTGCAATACGCAAAGACGGAATACGTACCTTATCATTCATGGGTATCCGAAAAAGATTGTACCACAGAAACGCGCTTACCTAGTGTTTTGTCTTGCTAATTATTGGAAACTGTATAT